ATTACAAATAAAGATGAAACAAAGTTGCAGAGCTTAAATTGGGCTTTGGAGTCCATAAACGATCATTAAGGTGATCATTGCTTCACAAGACCACGATATGTTAGGTGTAGTCTTGAGACCAAAAGCTTGGTTCTCCTTCACCTTTCAAGTTTCGCTTTTAAAGAAGCTCTTTTATTGCCCTAGCAGAAGGTTTCTCCTAGACCCGGAGTTCGAGGTAGCCGCCGCCGTCGATCTAAGATGAGTTTCACTCACCGGCGATAATCCTCCTCCTGGAAGTCACAACGCCATCCTTCTCGGGTTCGTCCAAGCCTCACCGAAGAACCTATCTCATCCTCCGTCGGCGAGAACCATTCCGCCGTGTTTGCTCTGGTTTGGTAGCTTCTAACCTCCGCTATCTCTGCTTCTCCATGACTACCGGCGAGACACTACGAATCTCTTTTACCCTCCGGCGTTTGTGTCTTTCACAATCGGTGGTAAGACTCTCTCACCGTAGGTTGCTTCCTCCCCCGCTTAACACCCTTCACCCACCGGACCCTCCAGTACCTCCCGACCCGCCGGATTTTTGTAACGGAAAAGGTCTCGACTCTTATCAAATTCCGGTCACGGTCTCGGTCAAATTTTTCACATCTTCCCGGCGAGATAAATCCTTGGATCCACCAGCACCACCGTCCATCACAGGCTGGGTCGTACTCCCGACGACGGCGACACTGTATCCTGATTTCCTTTGCGCCGACCCCTCTTTCACAGTCATATCCATCGTAGCCGGCGTCAAGATTTGCAAACCTCTTGGAAAGGCACTTGTGTGCAATCTGGGCTTGGCCCATCACGTGGATTCTATGGGCCCAACGAAGAAAAATGGAAGTGAAGGCCCATATCACTTACCCAATATCCGGTCAGGTTCTAGTTTCTTCTGGATTTTGATTATTGTAATAAACACAATGTTGGCTTTATCATGGATGTGTTTTGAGCTAGATACCTTCTCTGTTGTGAGTAGGTCAAAGTTTTCTGGATTCTCAAATCCTGTAATTTCTTCCTTTTTGGAGAGAACTCGATCACCTTTCCTTCTCCTGGTGAGAGTAAGGTTCGTCTCGGATTTAACTCCGATCAATTCCCTAACCATCATGAGGAAACTCGGAGGTATGGGTAGTCTTCCAAAGCCATGATTCACAGTGATTAAACCACTAGTCTTCGGCTTAGCGGCTTAGCCGTAAAGACGATCTTGACGCATTTGAGGCCTTCCTCGGATCTGCTGGCCATCCTTCGCGATGATTTATCTGCGTTTACTTTATGTTGTGGAAATCTAAGAGGATGTCTAATTTCCTCTTATTGTATGCAAGTTTAAGTTAATGAAGAAGCGTTGAACAAAAAAAAAGAAGCTCTTTCTTAGATTAAATGAATGGATGATACATATTGAAGAGTCATCACTCC